CCTCTCTCTCTCTTTCTCTCTTCTCTGTTCTCTCCTGACTCTTTCCTGTTTGTTTTTCTCCTCTGTGTCTCTCTCTCTTCTCCTTCTTTCTATCTTTCTAAATGCAATAAAGACAATTATACCAAATAATTACAATGATTGATAATTCGAATTAACGTTTTAAAATCTTTTGCTCCAAAACATTATATATTAACATTTAAAACACGTTTTATTAAAACGTTATGACCTCACGTTTTATACTCGTCTTTACAAATTTTGAAAACACCTATATTAAACGTAATTTAAAACGTGCTCAAAACAAAGAAAAGTCGTTTTTAGCACGTTTAAAAAACTTGACAATGTTTGGTGGGTTCCTATTAATTTACCTATGACTGTGGACTGGATTTGGTAAGAAGAGGCACTAAGGCCCATAAAAGGTTTTCCTTGGACAGAACCCGGTCACTGGCTAAGTGAGGCCGGAATGGGAATTGACAGAGTGGAAATAGATGATATGTTCACACGGAATAATACCAAAAGAACAAGGGCACATGTGTGTTAGCTGGAAACTCTGATGTGTCATAGAGATGTTAGAAAGATTCTTTTTAGTGTGAGAGTAGTTGACTATTCAACTATTGTACTTGAATAATCCTGAATAGAAAAGAAGAATAAAACTTGTCTTCATGAAAATACCATGTAAAATCATTGTAATTGCTCGTATTTCTTAAAGTATTTAAGTTAGGCCTAACCTGATCATGGCGATCCCATACCCCGGTACCATTGTCTACCCAAGCTATAAATCATCCCTGGGTGACAGGGGAAGCCGGTCGGCCGAGCGGACAGCACGCTGGACTTTTGATCCTGTGGTCCCAGGTTCGATCCCGGGCGCCGGCGAGAAACAATGGGCAGAGTTTCTTTCACCCTAAGCCCCTGTTACCTAGCAGTAAAATAGGTACCTGGATGTTAGTCAGCTATCACGGGCTGCTTCCTCGGGGTGGAGGCTTGGTCGAGGACTGGGCCGCGGAGACACTAAAGCCCCGAAATCATCTCAAGATAACCTCAAGACAGGGAAACATTTGACGCAGAGAACAGCTGCTTACACTCCTGTGCAATGATCACCTTCACTGTGGCCCTCACACCACTACCAGGAACCCAGCAGTAAGGGCGGCCCTAGATTAATAAAACAATTAACGAATCGTGTTCTGGGTAAAACTTGGCACTAAATATCTTAACCAGTTCAGGTGCCTGAACCAAATATCAGAAATATGACTATTGTTATCAAGACAAAGATCCAGTTATCAGTAACATAAACGTCAACAATATCAACAACTCACCGAGGCTGAAGACGTTGTAGGATGTGGTCGGAGGCAGCTGTATCGTCATGGCGGTAATGGTGCTTCAGTCTCAGGTCCAGGCAGTGATGGCGGGCGAGGCCAGCAAGTAGGCCAGGCAGGCGAGGCAGGTCGGCAGGGTCACTTCTGATATCAATACGCACTCTGGATGGCTTGAAGTGTGGTAGTAGAGCCGCGTAGCTGCCCACACGGTTGTCGTGTATGTATATATCTCCACCAGTATTTACGAAGGGAGCCACGGCCTTAGCTGTGACAGGAGTGACCTTGGTGTTCTCAAGAAGGTCCAGCCACTGGTCCTCATCCGTCATCCCGGACTCCTGCAGGAGGTCAACAACTTCCAGTGCCGCGGCTTGAGGTACCTGCTCCATGATCAGCAGCCCGGCCACATGAACCAGAACATTCTGGTACTTGGTCATAATCACCTCGGATGGTGTGATGGTCTGCTTCAACACTCTCCTGATGATGCCAGGCTGGACTGGTGTCATGCCAGGCTGGACTGGTGTCATGCCAGGCTGGACTGGTGTCATGCCAGGCTGGACTGCTGTCATGCCAGGCTGGACTGGTGTCATGCCAGGCTGGACTGGTGTCATGCCAGGCAAGGAAGGGGACTCTAAGCGCTTCTTCACTTTTATCATGAAAGGTTTCACATCTCCCCGGATGTTGCCAGGTTGAGCGAGTGTTGATGAGGCAGGTGGAGGTGAGGCAGGTGGAGGTGAGGCTGGTGGAGGTGAGGCAGGTGGAGGTGAGGCAGATGAAGGTGAGGCTGGTGGAGGTGAGGCAGGTGGAGGTGAGGCAGGTGGAGGTGAGGCTGGTGGAGGTGAGGCAGGTGGAGGTGAGGCTGGTGGAGGTGAGGCTGGTGGAGGTGAGGCAGATGAAGGTGAGGCTGGTGGAGGTGAGGCAGGTGGAGGTGAGGCAGGTGGAGGTGAGGCTGGTGGAGGTGAGGCTGGTGGAGGTGAGGCAGGTGGAGGTGAGGCAGGTGGAGGTGAGGCTGGTGGAGGTGAGGCAGGTGGAGGTGAGGCAGGTGGAGGTGAGGCTGGTGGAGGTGAGGCAGGTGGAGGTGAGGCTGGTGGAGGTGAGGCTGGTGGAGGTGAGGCTGGTGGAGGTGAGGCAGGTGGAGGTGAGGCAGATGAAGGTGAGGCTGGTGGAGGTGAGGCTGGTGGAGGTGAGGCAGGTGGAGGTGAGGCAGGTGGAGGTGAGGCAGGTGGAGGTGAGGCTGGTGGAGGTGAGGCTGGTGGAGGTGAGGCTGGTGGAGGTGAGGCAGGTGGAGGTGAGGCTGGTGGAGGTGAGGCTGGTGGAGGTGAGGCAGGTGGAGGTGAGGCAGGTGGAGGTGAGGCAGGTGGAGGTGAGGCTGGTGGAGGTGAGGCAGGTGGAGGTGAGGCTGGTGGAGGTGAGGCAGGTGGAGGTGAGGCTGGTGGAGGTGAGGCAGGTGGAGGTGAGGCTGGTGGAGGTGAGGCAGGTGGAGGTGAGGCATGTGGAGGTGAGGCAGGTGGAGGTGAGGCTGGTGGAGGGGAGGCTGGTGGAGGTGAGGCTGGTGGAGGTGAGGCAGGTGGAGGTGAGGCTGGTGGAGGTGAGGCAGGTGGAGGTGAGGCTGGTGGAGGTGAGGCTGGTGGAGGTGAGGCTGGTGGAGGTGAGGCAGGTGGAGGTGAGGCAGGTGGAGGTGAGGCTGGTGGAGGTGAGGCAGGTGGAGGTGAGGCTGGTGGAGGGGAGGCTGGTGGAGGTGAGGCTGGTGGAGGTGAGGCAAATGCACATGTTGGGGGATACCTGGGTGGTGTTGGGAGGTGGCTGTATGAGACTGAGAGAGGAGGTGACTGCAGCTGGCTCTTCAGAGTCGTCACAATATGTTTAGCACTATAGTAGTCTTGGATTCCCTTGTGGGGTACAGTGTACTGCTCCTGGACGCCTTCCCATGTCCAAGTAGGCTTCAGACTCAGGAACGCTGACAGTAGCTCCTCGTGAGGTAAACCTTCGTATTTACACACTCTTTTAATTTGGTTTATTATTTCTGTATCAAAGACCAACTGGTCGCGGGAGAGACTCTCCAGAGCTCTCCTGTATATCTCTTTCAAAACAGCTTGGATCCTGTCCAGTAGACCGTCTCTAGACATGACGTTGACCTGTGCATTGTTCGCCAATCTCTCTAATAATTTTCTTTGACACAAATGATGTATTTTATTGTAAAGCTCCGTCTGAGTTATGGTCGCCATGTCTAGCTCGTCCGGCGCCTGGTCCCAGATGTACACTAACAATATCAAGTTCATTGGTAGTGATAAGTATTCCTGAAGATCTATTAACTTCGCCACTGCCTTTACCAGATGTTCAGTGCTTCGTTCACTCATCGTTTGTTGCTTTATCACCAGGTGATTTAGACGCACAAACTCGAGAATTCGGTCCTTAAGTATACCTCGCAGCTCCACATGTGTAACATCATATTCTTGAGGAATCGTAGTCTTAAACACTTCAATTTGCTCGGGTCGTGACGTACAGATAAAAGTTGTGTGAGAAGAGTTCTTGAACTCGTGTATAAGACTATTCACTATTTTTTTCGAGTTCTCATTCAGCTCATCAATACCATCAACTAGGATTAGCAGCTTACAAAACTTCATCAATCGCGGCAAGAGGTTCCTGAATTTTAATGATTCGTCAGGCATCAAACGATCCAGGAGGCCCTGGTAAGAGTGTATGGTGGAGTCCCTGCACTGTACCCATAGCATGAGGTCGTAATTATCTAAACCTTTTATCTTCCCTTGACCTTCCTTTACCCATCCATGTGTTACCATTGTCACCAGAGACGTTTTGCCGCTCCCTGCTACACCTTCAAGTAGAATCACGTGAGGCTGGGAGGATACTCTCCATTGCTGGGAGGCAGAGCTCGTAGAAGGATGTGCAGCCGGGCTCTGGGCAATTTTGATGAGGTCTCGATAGTCTATATGTTTACCTTCACCTCTGCGTTTTCCTTGCTCGACCTCGATATCAACAAAGATTTTGTCAACCTCAAGGCGCAGGTCCTCGGCTATGAAAGGCACTGGGTTAATAAAGATTATGTTTTGGTAGAGTTTCCTCAGTGTCTTGCCAGTATTCTCAATCATAAGCTGCTGTATTTCGTCTCTGTAATTTATCATTAAATCATCTTCTCCGAGAATCTCTTGCTTAATGTTGTCCAGGTCATCCTCCACCTGCTTAATTTCCTTGTTTATCTCAGCCTCGTCTCGCCCATACCGCTTGCCAGATGCCTTAAGACAGTTTGTTAACAACTCTCGTAGATTAGTTGTCATTAGAAAGAATTCTTTGTCAGTAATGTAATGTGGACCATGATGAGCATTGTTTCTCATATTCTTTATAGCAGTGACGTAGTACTCCATTTCTGCACTTGGAGTACACCATTTCGGGTCATTGAACATCGCCACGTTCTTACAAGCCAGTTTGATGCTTAGGAAAAGCAACGACACATCAAATTCTGATCCGTCTGGACTCTTGTCGATCATTTCTTTTTGAATTCTGTTAAAATTTCCTGGCTTTCCCAAGTTCCCTAAGTAATCATGGAGCTTAATGTTAGCGGGCTTGTCTGGTGTCCCCCAGCACAGTGTCTTATATAAGACCCGTCTCCCACAGTCATTCAGAAACTTCATAAATCTAAACCAATTATATTCCTGTTTGGTAATTCCAGCCATGACGCAATAGGAAAATGATCTATTGATTTTGTGCAAATCAAAGAGCTCCTGATGTAGCAGTAAGTTAGATTGGTGATACTGGTGTTGCACAGCCTTCACCCATCTTAACTTATGGTCGGTGTTGCACAGCCTTCACCCATCTTAACTGATGGTCGGTGTTGCACAGCCTTCACCCATCTTAACTGATGGTCGGTGTTGCACTGCCTTCATGCTATTTAACTGTAAAATAAGAGGCAAGACATATTGTAGTAACACTGCAAGGAAGACTGAATGATGAGACAAACATAATTAGTTTAATAATTAATGTTTTTTGGCATGCAATTATACCATAAATATGCAAAGTTGTTTGTTTTTTAAATATTTTTGCTCATATCAATATGCAATTAATATAGTTTACCCCAAATTATTGACGGACAATATTTAACAAGAAACCTTTACCGTGGAAATATTTCGACCCATTGTGGGTAGAAATAATATAATATATTATAATTTTCTCATAATTTTCACTTTAAGGTCAGAGTGGCTCCTTGTCCCACTCCTGTGTATCTTTACCTTATGTACAGAGTAGTTCCTTATAACACTCCAGTGTATCCTTCCTTATGTACAGAGTAGTTCCTTGTACCACTCCTGTGTACCCTTCCTTATGTACAGAGTAGTTCCTTGTACCACTCCTGTGTACCCTTCCTTGTGTACAGAGTAGTTCCTTGTACCACTCCTGTGTACCCTTCCTTATGTACAGAGTAGTTCCTTGTACCACTCCTGTGTACCCTTCCTTATGTACAGAGTAGTTCCTTGTACCACTCCTGTGTACCCTTCCTTATGTACAGAGTAGTTCCTTGTACCACTCCTGTGTACCCTTCCTTATGTACAGAGTAGTTCCTTGTACCACTCCTGTGTACCCTTCCTTATGTACAGAGTAGTTCCTTGTACCACTCCTGTGTACCCTTCTTGAGGTTATCTTGAGATGATTTCGGGTTTTTTTAGTGTCCCCGCGGCCCGGTCCTCGACCAGGCCTCCACCCCCAGGAAGCAGCCCGTGACAGCTGACTAACACCCAGGTACCTATTTTACTGCTAGGTAACAGGGGCATAGGGTGAAAGAAACTCTGCCCATTGTTTCTTGCCGGCGCCTGGGATTGAACCCAGGACCACAGGATCACAAGTCCAGCGTGCTGTCCGCTCGGCCGACCGGCTCCCTACCCTACCCTACCCTTCCTTATATACAAAGTAGCTTCTTGTCCAATTCCTGTGTACCCTTCCCTCTGTACAGAGTAGTTCATTACCCTACTTCTGTGTACCGTTTCTTTTGTACAAAGTAGCTCCTTGTCCCACTCCTGTGTATCTGTACCTTATATACAGAGTTGTTTCATGTCTCACTCCTGTGTACCCTTCCGTCTGTATAGAGTAGTTCATTGCCCCCATTCCTGTGTACACTTCCCTCTGTACTGAGTAGTTCCTTGTCCTACCTCTAAGTATTTTTCCTTATATGCAAAGTAGCTCCTTGTCCCACTCCTGTGTACACTTCCCTCTGTACAGAGTAGTTCATTGTCTCACTTCTGTGTACCCTTCATTATGTACAAAGTACCTCCTTGTCCCACTCCCGTGTACACTTCTGTGACGATGTTAACTCCATCTGTTGACAGCACTTGACCCCATTTTCTGGTCCCCGGTGGAAGGCTGTGATCTTTCTGACTGACACCTGTGTAGTTTCATTCTTATTATACAATATTTTTTTCCTCAGAAGTGATGTGGGTGGTACTTTAGACGGCAAGAGGCAGTCCACCAGGAGTAGCCAGCAAGGGCAATCCTGAACGCAAGAATTGTTTCGGTGGGAACAAGTAGGACCTGTTCGTTGGGAACAGTGAATTGTCTGTAGTAGCCAGCGATGTATTGGTGGTTAGAACGACTTATCTCAGGGTGGCCAAGTTGTGTTAATAGATGGAATTAGCGTTCGTCTGTCCTCTAAGTTGAGGCTTGTTGGATGTGAAGCCTTTACAGGAAGCCAGCCAGAGTGTTGCTGGAGTTTCAAGGTAGTATTTTGACACTGTGATGATACTGTTGAGGACTGGCCTGTGAATTGGCGAGAAAAGTGGACTCACCAGCGTGAGTACATCAGAAGAAAGTCTTAGGGAAGGAACCTTGAGTGTTGTATGGATGAGGACTCACCGTGATAGAAGATCGGATAAGTTTTTTGTGTAGTTTCCTGTGTGAAATGGACACATACGGTGTTATCAGTGCTAATATATATATGTATATATGTGTGTATATATATATATATATATATATATATATATATATATATATATATATATATATATATATATATATATATATATATTAGTATATTTTGGTAGCAGTCTTTCCTGTAGACATATATTAATAAATATGACCGAAAAAGTAAGATTAATAATTCTAACACGAATTTTCTCAATCTTTCGTACATTTCTTTTCACTGTTGGAGGTAAATCAAAAATCAATTTTCCAAAATTCATTTTTATTTCTAGTCTGACGCGACACGAGCGCGTTTCGTAAAACTTATTACATTTTCAAAGACTTTAGTTCACAAATACACAACTGAATAGAACTTACGCATCTCCGATTTATATCTACATTTGAGTGAGGTGGAAGGGGTGATGTGGCATTAACACAAGACAGAACAAGATGTGGCATTAATAGGGTATTAATTTCATCAACACAAGACAGAACAAGAGTATTAATAGGGTATTAATTTCATCAACACAAGACAGAACACGAAACAATGGATATTGAATAGAAGTGTTCGTAGAAAGCCTATTGGTCCATATTTCTTGATGCTTCTATATTGGAGCGGAGTCTTGAGGTGGGTAGAATATAGTTGTGCAATAATTGGCTGTTGATTGCTGGTGTTGACTTCTTGATGTGTAGTGCCTCGCAAACGTCAAGCCGCCTGCTATCGCTGTATCTATCGATGATTTCTGTGTTGTTTACTAGGATTTCTCTGGCGATGGTTTGGTTGTGGGAAGAGATTATATGTTCCTTAATGGAGCCCTGTTGCTTATGCATCGTTAAACGCCTAGAAAGAGATGTTGTTGTCTTGCCTATATACTGGGTTTTTTGGAGCTTACAGTCCCCAAGAGGGCATTTGAAGGCATAGACGACGTTAGTCTCTTTTAAAGCGTTCTGTTTTGTGTCTGGAGAGTTTCTCATGAGTAGGCTGGCCGTTTTTCTGGTTTTATAGTAAATCGTCAGTTGTATCCTCTGATTTTTGTCTGTAGGGATAACGTTTCTATTAACAATATCTTTCAGGACCCTTTCCTCCGTTTTATGAGCTGTGGAAAAGAAGTTCCTGTAAAATAGTCTAATAGGGGGTATAGGTGTTGTGTTAGTTGTCTCTTCAGAGGTTGCATGGCTTTTCACTTTCCTTCTTATGATGTCTTCGACGAAACCATTGGAGAAGCCGTTATTGACTAGGACCTGCCTTACCCTACAGAGTTCTTCGTCGACTTGCTTCCATTCTGAGCTGTGGCTGAGAGCACGGTCGACATATGCGTTAACAACACTCCTCTTGTACCTGTCTGGGCAGTCGCTGTTGGCATTTAGGCACATTCCTATGTTCGTTTCCTTAGTGTAGACTGCAGTGTGGAAACCTCCGCCCTTTTCCATGACTGTTACATCTAGAAAGGGCAGCTTCCCATCCTTTTCCATCTCGTAAGTGAAACGCAGCACGGAACTCTGCTCAAATGCCTCCTTCAGCTCCTGTAGATGTCTGACATCAGATACCTGTGTAAAAATGTCGTCAACATACCTGCAGTATATGGCCGGTTTCAAGTTCATGTCGACTAAGACTTTTTGCTCGATGGTACCCATGTAGAAGTTTGCAAACAGGACACCTAGGGGAGAACCCATGGCGACCCCATCTACTTGCTTATACATGTGCCCATCCGGGCTCAAGAAGGGTGCCTCTTTAGTACAAGCTTGGAGTAGTTTCCTCAGAATATTTTCTGGTACGTCAAGAGGAGTACAGGCTGGATCACGATACACTCTGTCGGCTATCATTCCGATTGTCTCGTCCACAGGTACGTTGGTAAACAGCGATTCTACGTCCAACGAGGCTCTTATCCCTGTGGCCCGTGTGCCCCGCAGTAAGTCAACAAATTCCTTTGGAGACTTCAGGCTGAAGGCGCAAGGAACATAAGGAGTCAGCAGGCCGTTGAGTCGCTTCGCCAGTCTGTACGTGGGTGTGGGTATCTGGCTAATGATTGGCCGAAGTGGGTTTCCAGGCTTAAGTGTCTACGTCCCACTTCGGCCAATCATTAGCCAGATACCCACACCCACGTACAGACTGGCGAAGCGACTCAACGGCCTGCTGACTCCTTATGTTCCTTGCGCCTTCAGCCTGAAGTCTCCAAAGGAATTTGTTGACTTACTGCGGGGCACACGGGCCACAGGGATAAGAGCCTCGTTGGACGTAGAATCGCTGTTTACCAACGTACCTGTGGACGAGACAATCGGAATGATAGCCGACAGAGTGTATCGTGATCCAGCCTGTACTCCTCTTGACGTACCAGAAAATATTCTGAGGAAACTACTCCAAGCTTGTACTAAAGAGGCACCCTTCTTGAGCCCGGATGGGCACATGTATAAGCAAGTAGATGGGGTCGCCATGGGTTCTCCCCTAGGTGTCCTGTTTGCAAACTTCTACATGGGTACCATCGAGCAAAAAGTCTTAGTCGACATGAACTTGAAACCGGCCATATACTGCAGGTATGTTGACGACATTTTTACACAGGTACCTGATGTCAGACATCTGCAGGAGCTGAAGGAGGCATTTGAGCAGAGTTCCGTGCTGCGTTTCACTTACGAGATGGAAAAGGATGGGAAGCTGCCCTTTCTAGATGTAACAGTCATGGAAAAGGGCGGAGGTTTCCACACTGCAGTCTACACTATGGAAACGAACATAGGAATGTGCCTAAATGCCAACAGCGACTGCCCAGACAGGTACAAGAGGAGTGTTGTTAACGCATATGTCGACCGTGCTCTCAGCCACAGCTCAGAATGGAAGCAAGTCGACGAAGAACTCTGTAGGGTAAGGCAGGTCCTAGTCAATAACGGCTTCTCCAATGGTTTCGTCGAAGACATCATAAGAAGGAAAGTGAAAAGCCATGCAACCTCTGAAGAGACAACTAACACAACACCTATACCCCCTATTAGACTATTTTACAGGAACTTCTTTTCCACAGCT